ATCTGTGACATTACTATCGGGATCAGTAGCATTAAACACGGTTTGCTTCTCCATCATTCCCGACAGTGCAAGACTTGGAGACCACTCAAGAACGTCGTCAATTATGTTGGAAACCCGCTTCTGATACCTGCAAGAAGAGAGTTTATGACATGGATACCATATAATATTTGACATATTTGTTGCATCTTTGGTACTCACTATTGGATAGGACTCGGAAAACTATAAATACAAAATTTTGACCTTTTTTTGCTTTCTCATTAGTGTCATATGCTATACAGTCATCTTTTACCAAACATACAATGAAATGTTAAATGTGGTAAATTTTGACTCAGATTACAAGGAAATTATCGAAGCTTCAATAGACCTTAAATTCCTGCTCCCTTTTATTTCTGATTATTTTGTCAACTGGCCAAGCACGATGATTACTTACAGTATGAGAAGAAAATAAGATCAAATATCCAAACAGAAATGATGTGTAGGAATTGTAACCTATTAACTCCGCCACATACATAAGAAAAAATATTAATCGAGATTTCCCAGCTATTTCAAACATAACATTAAAACATATTCGATTTTGCTCAATTTTTAATTAAGATTTTCCTAGCATTTACACACACTTATTTATCATTATTCTTAATTTCCTTCTTTCCTTTCTGATGCAGGTTGCAAAAAAATTTGAATAGATACACATACCTGGCTCTAGCAGCTTCATCAGGAGCATGGTGCCTCAGAAGTAAAAAGACCAGCACAGCTACTATTGCATAAAATAATCTAGCAGTCCACTTTGGACGCTCATCCTCGTCCTTTTTAGGCCAAAACTGAAATAATTCCTTGAGTGTTGCTTCCTCTGCAAGAATGTTTGGGAAAAACCAGACACGCTTTCCAATAAGTATCCATAGGGTCCCGAAGACAAGGCCTCTCACTGCAGGAAAATATCAGAGCAAGCAATTTGATTCAGTAACAGCTATTTCATACACAACAAAAATAAACGTGATGTCAACCAGCAGGAGACAGGAAGAGAATGGATCCCCAAATGAGCTACCTATACAGAATTACAAAACAAAACGCTACTCGCTAATCATAGAAGAGTAACTCGGTTTTCGTGGGTAAGAATTAATTTTCAGACAAAAGACATTCTTTACAATTCAGAAAATAGAAAGAAAAAAAAATGTTAAATAATGCTATAAATGGCATATCACCTTTTTACAGTCCTTGCTAACATCAATGGGGTTAGAAAGACGAACAAATTCTTGAACAGAAGTAGTTATAACTTACAATGAATAGTTCAATAAATTGATTACGGCAGGGAAGAACGAAAAGAGTGATAAATCACGTGTGAGCTATGAAAACGCCTAGATGAGCCTGGTAAGGAGTTTGACTAGGGAATCAGCAATCCCAAGGTATCATTTTTGGAAATAAATAAATATAAGTTGAAAAGAAAACAAAGGATAAATTGTGTTTATTTTAACTATAAATTCCATATTTCTCCTCGTTGTAACTTTATTCATATTGTAGAGATTTTTAATGATTACTGGTGATCACTGTAATGTATATATGTAGATGGTTGGTCATGTTGTAAAGGACATAGTTGTCCCATTTTTGAGCCATCAAAACAAACTAAATATATAAAGTATCAAAGTAGTTCCAAACTCTTGAACCTTGACTAGAAAGAACATTTTCTAGGAACTCCTACACACGGAAATACTAAGAGAATGTTTAGCTAAGCTTAAGAAGTTTACTTTCAAGTATACAAGTTAGTTTCAAATTATAAATAAATTTTTTTTTTTTTTTAAATAAATTTGAAAATAAGTGAGTTGTACAATGATATCTCAATGAAACTATTGTTTTTTTTTAAATAAATTTGAAAATAAGTGAGTTGTACAATGATATCTCAATGAAACTATTGCTTCATACCAGTTATTCTACTTTACAAATAGCAAGTACGACAGAAATTGCAACAAATGGAGTCAAATCAAGACTAAATAGAATCAGACTAAAGAACTTACATATAAGTAGGGTAAGTATAAGTAGGAGTAAACCCGCACAGAAGTAGAGAATAAATAGCTTGCAGCTGTGGGGATACACAGGAAACAAGCAGATTGCAAGGGTCAAAACGGGCCAGAAAAATGAGAGAAGTGTTTGCCACAACGGCCTTCGATTCACAAATGTCCAAGCAAAGAAGGCATCATTATCAGAAAAAACTTGCTCCTGCAATACATCAATAAATAAGAGATAAAGAAGTATAAATCAACCCAACAGGAACAAGTAACTGAATAATAATTTCCAAGCTGAACAGGAATAATGATGGACTAAATTTTAATTGAAGCGCTAACTTGTTCTTGTTATTAGATCATCTCATACTATTACTAACCACACAAAGTTCAAAAGCTGCTCCCTCCCTTGAGGAATAAAATAACAAAAGACACCTTTCTGGTTGACTTTTGTAAACAAAATGTTTTGAGAGAACTCACAGGGAATATCTCCAAATGCGCTGGCCATGTGGACAATTTTTTCTTCCCAGGGCGAAGAGTTTTGACAACACGATCACACCGCACTATAAGATTTTTTCTCAGTAAAATGTTGGCGATATCTTCAATTTCTGAGTTCCTGTCTGATTCAAGTATGTCTTTGAGCTCTGGATGATTTCTCAGAAAGCTAACAAAATCTTTTCCTCTAAAATATTCCACTCTTGTCTCTTGTAAGACAGCCCATCTAGACTCCAATTTCTTATGATCTCTTACTTTCTCAGCAAAAATCTGAAACACATCCTTCTTCGCAGCTTGCTTCTGGAATTTAAAAGAAGGGCGTTGGGTAAAATTTAAGATGTTTAACCATCTGAAAATAAAAGGAAAAAAAAAAATTCACTTCTTGTAAATAGCTTTGTTGCATAAATAGATGATTGACAATTTCAGATCTTTTCTATTTTCCTTCTATTTTTTTGGTGGGCACATGGGGCTTTTACTATCATGACCATGGCATGTAACAGCTAATTAAGCAACACCAGTAAACATAAGAAACAACATAAACATATAAAAAATAAATAACCAAGATCATGTGAAGGAAATGTGCTTATCTACGTTGTTTCATGATCAACTAGTTCCCTAAGATTCTTCTAAAAGAACTACCACCCTCTACCTCACAAAGGAAAAAAGAAAGTTAAAAGGAAAGACATTTGCCAGCACACACATGCAGACCAACTCCTGGATTCTATTGCATTATCATCTGTAACACTTCAATCCTCTCTAGGTATTCAATGAAATAACATTTTTAGTGCATTCCATCAACCAATTAACAGAAGACCCAAAGACATTAAAAGGAAGGGCAGGAGTTGAATCCTTGTCCACATCCTATCATATGTTCCATAAATACAAACCCGTGTAATTAAGTATTCCAACTTGTAAATCAGCTTATAAGAACTTTTTCATGTACTTAAATGTCTACGTAAAACTCTTCAGCAATTGATATTTGAAAAGGAAAAGGTTATTTTTAAATGAGCAGCATATTGGATCATCTTAGTAAGGATTAACTACGAGAATGAAATTTCCATAAAAGTAAAAAAGATGCAAGTAACACATGCCTTGAAACTTCTGCTTGTTAAAAAATAAAATAAGAGAAGGGGCAGTAAAGAAAATCAATCTTAAATGGCCGACTCAGATATTATGGGCAAAGTAGAGACTTCATCTTTAAGATTGCCTGTTAACAATCCCCAACTCCAAGCATGGTCGGAATTGTCTTTGGTTTAAAACTAACCGCATTTCTTTTATAGTATTTAAAAGTAGCAAGAACATAGCAATAGTTATATTATTCATTACTATAAAGTATAAGCAGCTTGAAAATGTTCAATAACTAGAGCATAACAGCATTCATCTTCTTATCTAATATGCTTTTCTCTTTAAATCAGTAAATTATTCCTTTTCTTAAGCTTCATTATCACACCAGAAATTCAAAGTACATAAATATTGATATAAGATTGACTGAACAAACGTGTCTTCATGGATTTGAGTGAGAGTCCTATTACATGTCTTTGTGGATTTGAAAACTATTTTGGGTACTTCTGTTTAAGAATAAAAATCTTGTAATTTTACATTAAGAAGTAACTAAAGAAGCTACTATTCTGGTTAAAATATATCGACAATTCTTCTCTAGAAAAGATAGATAAGATCCCAGAAAGGGCACTCTATCCCACCATCTAAAAAATACAAAATAACCATTTATTTGGTTCGACGGAATGGATTAAATTTGGGAGAATTACTTCAAAAGTAAACGAATATGAATTCTCATTTGATTCTTAATTGCGCATTACGTTCAAACTTCATACCAGTTAATTTCCTATCTTTCCACAGTGAACATAATTAAATAACCATAAAATTTCTTTAATTATTTAATAATTAACGAAAATTTAAGTTAAAATACATGCCCAGAGTTATTTTATTTGTAATTCATCGGAAGCTACCTAAATATTTAAGCATTCTATACAAAAATTTAAAAACTACAAAAAATGATTAAAAAAAAAAAAAAGCTTTACAATAATTGGGGTCAGATCCTTCATGTAAATACATCAAAAAATCAGGAAACCACCAAAATTCAATACGAAAGCACATTATAAACTCGACAACACGCAAATTTGAAAAATTTTTGTTATGTGTATTGGTAAAAAGTAAATTACTAACCTTAGGAGGGGTCTCGGTGCTGGACTCTCCGTATGAACGCCGACTGCGCTTCTTATCGACGGCCGCTCCGCCGCCGCCTCCCGGTTTCTTCATTTCTCTATGTTTCTATAATCGTCCTTTCGCCAACGTTTATTTAAAATTTATTTACTTTTCTTTCAAAGGAAAAAAAATAGCAATTTTATTATATTTTAATTGAGTCGTGACGATTAAGACATGGGCCTTCGTGGGCTTCCAAGGGAGGGTTGAAGCCCAGATAATTTGTCCAAATGATACTTTTGTGCTGGCCCGAAGGTAAATTCCAGAAATAGCACTTTAAAGTAGAAAAAACGTTTAGTGTAATCTATTTTTTTGAGAATAACCCGGAAAAAGAATTTCACGCTCTTCCTTTCGGGAAGGGAGAATTAGGGAAATCCTCTTGATTGCAATGCCTGGGCAATCAAAACCAACATTATGAATTTTCATGTGTGTGAGCTCGGGGCAAGGGAAGCGCTCGCGCATTTGGGCTCTTCCCACGGTAGAGCCTCTCGCCTAAGTCAAAATAACGAAGGCAGAATGTATCGGGAGGCCCACTCTTTGCATTCGGCTGAGGCCAACGTTTAGAGTTCTTACTCGGGCTCATAGTAATTTCGACTCTACCTTCCCGGAGTTCATTCTCCGGGGAACTCCGTTTAAATTATTCATGCTTATTAGTCTTGTACTAAATTCGTCATCAATCTTTAATAATAAGCAACTTGTAATCCTTAATCTTACTTTCATTTAACTTCTGCAAATGCAATTAGAAATGACATATAACAACTTCACTCTTCCCTAGAAACACGATATGACATGACATTGAAAAATTCTCAAGTCAAGATCAAGAAATTCATATCCTCCAATGCACAAATTTGGTGTATAAAACCTTTTATGAGGATTTGAATTTTATTTTTTTTACTATGTCAATCATGAATTGTATCGAACAACATCTAAAATACACAATATTTAGTCGTGCTCAATTTCACCTAAATTACTCTATACACCTCTAACCACTATCATGTGAAAATGACAAGCTAAATTTTACAGATTTTGATGTTATAAATTCTTGGGGATTTTGTGTAAGAAGAAAAGCCTAGGTTTCTATCGCCTTATTGTTTATTGTGCCTCCAAAATATATATTTTTTTAATTTCTGAGTTATGAAATTTTTGTTTTAAGTTTTCCTTCCTTTTTATTACATTTTAGGCTTTTTACGAATGATTTGTTTCTACGTAGCTATATTTTGAAAATATTTAACATAGAAAATGTTAGATCATTTCGAGTGTTGTACTTGTGTCAATTTTTTTTTTAATGGCATAAAATTACTAATTTATGAGGAATTAGTAAATATATATTTTTTATTTTGAATTATTTTACATAGTTCTTCGAATCACGTTTTATTGATGATAGGATTTGTCTTTATCAAATTGTACGTTTGGTCTATCATGTCAAATAAGTTGGAAGAAGGTCTTCTAAATTTATAAAATCATACTTTACAAAGAGAAAAATGATAATAAAATGACCATAATGAAAATTAAAAATATTAATATGTTATCTCCTATCAATTAAAATTATGGAACATTGTAAAACGTGGATCAAATATTAGGATCTACGTACATTGATTTGTAATTTTTGTAATAATTAATAACTTTATTAATTTTCATAATAATTAATAATAGAACTTCCATTTCACCTACACATCCACTCATTTCAAGAAATCTAGTAATTAAAAATATGCATTTATGTTGACAATCGATTTGTAAGTAGGGTAACAGGACAACTGTGATAATGGAGGCAAAGGGCTCGCTAGTTATTCACATCCGAAGGCTAGGCTAGAGAAAAATGAAGGCATGTAACTTGAACATTTGGTGAAAATTAGGGCTGAGCAAATCTCCCGAACCGAATCGAACCCGACGGTTCTTGTCAAATTATATACCCGAACAGATATTTGAATTGAGAATCGACGGGTACGGTTCGGTTCTCGGTTCTAGATCAAGAATCGAAAAATCGAATAAAAATCGAATCTTTCTAATTTTTTTTTTAATATTGAGTAAATCAAATTATTTTAATTTTAATTTTTTCTAAACAAATTAACAAATTAATGATTTCTAAATCCAAATTTTTGGTCCAATAATTTGTTTCATTTCTAATTTTTTAATTTTTGGCCCAATTACCCATTTTATTGTTTCATTTCTTAGCCAAACAAGATCAAACCCACTAAATAATCCTAAACACCTACAATAAAGTGCATAACGTTGTCTCGACTCTCGCACTCACTCTCGTAGCCTCGCTAATATTTCAAAACATATACAATCGTCGGCCTACACTCTGACCTCCGATTGAAGCTGTGACTTCCGCCGATCGAAGCTTTGATCGTAGCAATCATTTGAACAATGTAATTTACTAGTCTCTGACATTCCAAAACCATTGAATGTATCATTAGTCGTATTTATATAACATTGTTATAAATGTTAAAAAATTTAATTATAGTACAGAATCGAACCGAACCAAACCGAACCCGAACGGTTCTATAATTATATTTGGACCCGACAATTCTATTTACTAGATACCCGAAAAGTTTGGTTCGATTCGGTTCTAAAGAGAACCGAACCGAATCGATCCGCGCCCACCCCTAGTGAAAACACAAAGGTTTAATAGAATATTGTAGGACAATTTTACTAAAGTTTTCTTTGTAAATGCATCTTTAGGATGGAAGGGTTTAGATAATTAATGCCTTCAGTATGATAGAGTAAAACTCTGCCGTCTATTTTTTATGAAGTTTGGTATAAAATGATCAAAAGTCCTCACATTTAACAAAGAAAAAATCCAAGTTGGCCAAGTAAATGAGAAAGTCTAATAAGGTTAGTTGTAAATATTGGACAATGACAATACAATGTTTTTATGTAGTTATACTTGACTTAATTTTTAGATGAGTTGTCTAATGTGCTTCTACTTGTGTTAGACAAGAAAAAAGAAACATTCAAAGAGTAAATCATATTTATAGAAAAATTAAATGTAATGCTGTGTTGCCGTGTCAAACAAAGTCCTCATTTGTAACCAAGAAAGAAACCAACTTGGCTAAATAAATGAGAAAGTCCAGTGAGCCTAGTCATAAATATTGGACAATGATAATATAGATTTTTAATATTTTTTATAGTCATTCTTGACTTATTATTTTTTATGTTGTTTAGTGTACTTACACACGCTTCGATGAGGGGCCCACTGGATTAAAAAAAATGTCTCGTTTGTTGATTTGCTCATTATGATTAATCAGATTTCATAGTTATTAGAGCTGAAAACGAGTCTCTAGTTCAAGAGACATGGACTCTCTTATTTATTTTTAAAAAAATGGTTTTATTATCAAATTCAAAATTTGAATAAAAATAACAGTATACTAGAATTTTGTTTATATATATAAACTTAAAAAAGAAAGAAAGATAGAGTTTGTTGTATGTTCAAATTCAAATTTTGAGATAAAATAACAAAAATGTTTCATTTAGATATATGTAAATCATAATTAGATAAATATTTGTTATGTTGGTGACACTTGGTGCACATAATTTTGATCTTATAAAGTGAAGTATAAGTTTAAATATGTGTATCATGATTAAGTAGCGTTTTCTGATTATTTAAGATTCATGGTCATAAATCTCTTGTTTCAAATACTATTTAACTTCTCTAAGATTATCTGCTTATGAAATTCAGTAGTATGAAAAATATTAAGAAGACAAACAATTGTATAAGTTAACAATATTTGTATATAAGTGTAAAGATTATTTCTAGTTTTGGCTAAGCCTAAGAAAAAAGTAGAAATGTTTTTAAGTTATCCCTAAATGTTCTTAAACAACTTAATTATTGATAAGTGAAAAAGTTAGTTAAAATAATTCTTACCTATTACCAACATAAATATTGAATTTAAAGTAAATATAACAAAATAAGTATTAAATCATTTTTTTCTAAAATAAATCTTATCTTAATACCACAAAAAAAAAAAAACAAAAAAAACACACACACACACACACACACAAAAAACATTATAAAAGTATTTAAAATGCTAGACTGAATACTA